GAACTAGAATTAGTTTAAGAGTTGGTAATCATCAAAGGTTTGACCTTAGACTAAGCCTAGTTAAGGATATTGTTGAGTATTGAATGTTGAATATTAAACAATTGAAAATATCATGAATGAATTATATATTGTGTGCATGATATCAAATGGTTGTTTGTGAATTGAGATTCAATTTATGTGGATGTTCGACGCTTTAGATATGCTTACTCAGCTTCATCGCTGAGCGTGTAGTATGTTTTATTTGCTACACGCAGGTAGACTGAATGAATGATTGGCTTGTTCCTGGCAGCACAAGGGGCGAGATTGTCGTGGTGAAATTTGTGATTTTAAATAAATAATTATGTTGTTATTAAACATGGTTTAAATTGCTTCCGCATTATTGTTAAACACTCTGCATTTTGCTACAATTATGTACTAAATAATATTTATGATGAATCAAAGTATTTGAAACGTCTTAAATTTATGATTTCCAAAGTTAATACTTTAGTCTGAAAGGGGCTGCAGACCTGGACGGATTAGGGTGTTACACCTTTGCTTTTAAGGTCAAACTTGCCTACCTCTTGTTGGGGACATGCCATATTACATGTTGCATCATTGGTACGCATAAGACCAAGTTCTTATCATTTGTACTCACCATTGCAATTGACTTCTGGCCAGCAGCCAAATCTCTCCCACTTAAAGATATTTGGTTGTGCGGTGTATGTTCCTATCTCCCCACCTCAATGGACAAAGATGGGCCCACAGAGACGACTTGGAATTTACGTTGGTTTTGATTCCCCATCTATCATTAGATATATTGAACCATTGACAATCGACTTGTTTAAAGCAAGGTTTGTTGATTGTCATTTTGATGAGACAGTTTTTCCACCGTTAGGGGGAGATAAAATCCTAATTCCTAAAGAACAACGTGAAATTACTTGGAATGTACCATCTTTGTCTCACTTGGACCCACGCACGAATCAATGTGAACAGGAGGTGAGACGAATAATACATTTGCAAAATATTGCAAATCAGTTGCCAGATGCATTCACTGATACAAAAAATGTGACGAAGTCTCATATACCAGCTATTAACACACCTGCACGTGTGGACGTCTTAGATGAACAAAATAATGAAGCACTAAAACCTCGCATGAAGTGTGGACGTCCCCTTGGTGCGAAAGATAAGAACCCTCAAAAGAAAAGGGTACAAGAGATGAAGATCTCAAATGATAATAATATTTCAAATCAAGAAAACGTTAAACAAAATATGACTGATCAGTCTGAAATTGTTAAAGAAAAGACCTATGAAGAGGTACATACCCCTGAAGAGGAATGTCTAGAAGGTTTTAGATCTGAAGAGATATCCCTAAACTATTTGAGTACAAAAGAGAGTTGGGATAGAAAAAGGTGATCATCTATGACATTTTTGCTTATAGTGTTGCATTAAATATTACAAATGAGGATCCAGAACCAAAATTTGTAGAAGAATGTCGACATAGAAATGATTGGCCAAAATGGAAAGAAGCAATGCAAGATGAGTTAAAATCTCTAGAAAATCATAAAGTTTTTGGACCTATAGTTCAAACACCTGAAGGTGTAAAGCCCGTTGGGTTCAAAAGGGTTTTTGTGCGGAAACACAATGAGAAAAATGAAATTTTCAGATATAAGGCTAGACTTGTTGCCCAAGGTTTTTCACAACGACCTGGAGTCGATTATGATGAGACATATTCACCTGTGGTGGATGCAATTACATTGCGTTATTTGATTAGTTTAGTAGTCACAGAAAGACTTGACATGCGTCTTATGGATGTTGTTACAGCATATTTGTACGGATCTTTAGATAATGAGATTTACATGAAAATCCCCGAAGGATTCAAAATTCCTGAAGCATGCAATCAGAAAGCTCGTGAGTTATTCTCAATCAAGTTACAGAGATCATTATACGGAATGAAACTGTAACACCTTAATCCGTCCAGGTCTGCAGCCCCTTTCGGACTAAAGTATTAACTTGGTAATCGTAAAAATTTAAAACATTTTAACATCTTTATTTATCATAAAATAATATTCCATACATAACAGTAATAAATTACGGAGTTTTAACCATATTGCGGAAGCAATTTAAATCATGTCTCATAACAATTTGATTTAATCATTTTAAATCATAAATCCACCACGATCGCCTCGCCCCT